CTTCTTTCTTATTGGAACTTCACTTGGTAAGGGCAGGTTTTTTCTTCTGTCAGGATGCTTCTTTTGCTCATGACGCTCTCTGTCATCTGCAATCATTCGTCTTGTTCAGTTTGACAAACAGGTTGTACGTTAAGTGACAGTGCTTCCTGTTTTTACCATGTTGTACCTTCCAGCCTAGGAAGTAGTTGACAGAAATGCGTAATAAAACGTGAAGCTTTTCTAGAACACCTTTTACATGTCACACTGAGCTGAAACTGGCAAAAAAAACCACAGTGTCTTTATTCACAATGCAAACAATATTGTCAGTCGTGTCTCACGGGCTTTCGTTAAAGTACAGAGGCAGGTTGATTTCGCATGTTGTTTCTGTACTTTGCAAATATTCTAACGTTTAGAGCTAGAAGGTCGCATCTCTTGCATTCTGATCATATGCCATGTGTCTCAACTATCACAGTTGTGGTCCGTCGACTTGAAGTAAGAGCGGGTCACAAACGATGATATATTGGGTTCTCGTATTGCGAGAGTCTGGCCAGTCAACTAGCAGTTCTTCGAAAGAACCTCGTTTTAGTCACTGTCTACAGTCACACTTTCGGGCATTGCACTATCCGACACCCATGTCAAAATGTATAAGTTCGTTACGCTTCTGCGACTCACTATAATAGGAAGAAAAGAAACGAGGAATGACTAATAAGCCATTTTGGTAAATGAAGTGTACAACTTTTGTTGCTTTTCTGAAGATTAACTGCAAGTTGTAGTTCGCCTAGCCGCCTTATTGCATTCATGTTTGGTGTTTCTTTTTTTCTTATAACGTTCTTTTAGAAAATGGAGAAGAATATGCACACCACGATTTTGGCCATTGCCGAACGCGTAAGGCAGATTCAGCAGTCAATAGTGGAGATGCTTAGGAAGTTGGAACTACAGGAAAATCTTGATTGGTAAATTGATACTTAGCTACTTTCTTTCCTTGAACGATCTCCGTATTAATATCAGCGAAAGCAGTAAGGGAATCTGCGTGCTACGCAGTATCCTAGTCTCTGTTCTTAATCATTGTACTTACACCGTGATCATCTCTGGCAATCCAGTGATACGGGTACAGCTCATGAAGTAGGAGAAAGGAAAGCAAAGTTTGAAGCTACTTGAAGGTCGGTCTTCCTTACACTTTTATGATGGCTTATTTCTGGTGCCCTTCTTTTCATGAAGTTAATGGGGGAGCACTTATATTTAATTCCATGCCGTCAGCTAAGAGTGCCTATTTTAAAGACAAAGTGAACCACAGCTGCGTGGCGACCATGTTTCTTTCCCACAGAGTAATATTCATCAACTATGGAAGGAAGAAACGCGAGTTATCTGACGGGATTGAACCTAGCAAATCTGGCATCTCTCGGTTCTGATTCCTATGCTCTATCGACCTAACAATCGCAGTCAAATTCTTGGGAATCACCAAGTATCTGACATTGTCGAGTTTAAGATATTAACTATTCGGCACTGCTGGTTGACGGCATGGAAACAGAGATCAGCGCCCCCTCCCATAACTTCATGAAAAGAAGGGCATCAGAAATGAGCCATTATAAAAATAGAACATCTTTCTACATGGAAAGATTCAGGAGCTTGCAAGTATTTTCACTTTTTCATGCATAAGGAAAGTATGATCTGCTTGGTCTATGGGTGTAAGAAAATCAAGGAAACTTGTCTCAAAACTTAGGGACCTGACATGGAGTGTTATCAAATTAATAGTTCCACATGATATTCATATGGAGAATAACATCCTCAGCAACTGTTGTTATTCGCCCGTTGCATGATAACTCGGCACAGCGCCTGTTATGCAGCTCCATCAGATTTTAGTATATAAGTATCAATTCTTGGACGGAGCTCGACGGAAAC